ATCTCAGTCAAAAGTTTAGTAGCCCTGCAAGCAGAAAAGAAATTAAAGTAACTTTCAACTGGCTGCACTGCAGATCTTATCATGTATTCGCTTTCCTCACATGGCATCTGCTTTAAAGAACTAAAATACACATAATATTATTATTCAATCTATATCAGGCCTTTAGCTTCCTTTGTAGTAATTATATTATCAAAATCATCCCACAACGAAGTAGAACTTATGAAAAAATCCTGACTGGCATAAGATGAAAAAAAGGGTCTGAAATTGGGCTTCCCCGGCCTCAACAAAAGCTCAATCTGTTTCAATTTTCACATGATGTTTCATTTCCTACAGCTTCTTTGAGGATGTTTTCTACCAAAACCAAGTCTTATTCCATGTAAAATGGGATTCTTTTATAAACTAGGTTTATTCATACATGGTGAGGATCTCTATCCAGGTTTTTTGCTATTCAAACTCAGGTTTTTTCCAGCTTGTTATTATCCACTTCATCTCATTTCTTAATAGGTACAGCTGATTGTAATCTAATGTATTCAATTAGGTGCAGCTTAAAGATTCTTGCAAGCCTTACGTGCAACCCTTTACATGTCCTAGTAAAAAAAGTAAGAAAAAAAATATATCTCCACATTGCTCCACCAACTTAAAACAGAAAAATAAAAAGTTAAGCCTATACAGGCAAGCATGTCCTTCAGAAATTATAGAGCACTGTTTAACAGCATTGCTATCATCCTTATTGCACTTAATAATTTCAAATATAGCAAGATAAGAAGTGTGGCATACTTCTCTGAAGAACCAGCTTGATTATCATGCACAAGTATGTAATGCTTCAAAATCTTTGGGTCCATTGCACTGTCACTGAGAAGAGAGGGCAATTTGTTGCTGTTAAAGAGGTCTACAAATCTGTTTATGGGTTCCTTATCCATTGAAGAAACAACCAAAACGCCTGCAAATCATTTTGGACAAGAAATAATCAACAAGCGAATGCAATATCATGTCTAGAATGAACATTTAAAGAAAACCATAAGTGGAAGGAACAAGATTAGCAGAGCTTAATTATAGCAAAGAAAGCAAGGTATCAAATAATTTTCAAAAGCTTACATGCCACAGGATGATCAAAAGCTTCATGGTCAGAAAAGGACAAGGTACGTACAAGCTCTTTGTTAAAAAACTGAAACCATGATGGTAAAATTTCAGATTCAGGCCCTGCAGAAAACATTCACCATATATAAATCAAATCAGACAATCTCAATAGTATAGTAAAAATGAAAAACCGGCCACAGGGAAACAAAATGATAACAAAAAGGACAACAATAAAATCTGCAAAATTATACCCACTAAATATCCAAATCAATGTAACTTACTAGAGAGAAGATCGTTAACTTGAGGTGGGTCAGAAGACATTTCAGAAAAATCTTTCTCTCCCACATGGGTAATAACCTGCTTTAGCCTCTCCTTCGCTACCTAGCCGATCAACATTGTTTTCAGAAAGAAACCACCAAAAAATGAAGATGAAAACTATCACATGATTGGAATTGCACATGCACTACTAAGCTCGAATCAACTAACTTTTATTCCAACTAAACCAAAACCCATCAACTTCGTTTTTTGCAGTGTACAATAAATCTCCCTCATTCAAATCAATTAAATTACAGATCCCAATACTAAAATACTTTATCAAAGCTAAAGAATCAATGTCAGGTATTTTAAAACTGAAATAGCTCCAGTAGCTTCCAACTCAACTAGTATCCTATTAGTGCTGTTGATTATGTTCCTAATTAACCAAAATTTCATTATCCACCTATTCCAGTTCATACAAAATTGAATTAAAGTGATCTTCACCTACTTCAAAAAAACTGAAAAGAAAAGTAAAGCAGCTACATTATTAGGCTACAAAACAGGGAATCTCAATAGAAATTACCTCGATATTAGGTTTTCGAATATCCGAGGCGTAAAACAACCGCAATTTGAACTTATGCAGCCTGTAGGGTTGATCACTCACTGTCCGTACAGGCACTGCCACCATAATTCAGATAAGTAAAAAAGAGTAATCACCTCACAATTCAACGTAAATATACACAAAAATACGTATAAAAATCCGTAGAAAAAGATTTGAATTATTCACCGTCAATGTTGGTGAAGTCGCAGAAAGGGGAGAGCATTTGGATAAAGGAGAGGCCGTTCTTGAGGCAAGATTCTTCTACAAGTGGAGTGCAGAGTACCATAACCACCGGGGTGATCTCCTCCAATAGCATTTTTCCAAGTGGCGAGTTCGCCGGATCCGCCATGACTCTCCCTCTCTTTCCCTCTCCTCCGATTGTCGATTGCCCTAATACGTGCAGAAAGGAGCTTTTGTGAAGCTCCGAGTAGATTGCTGCGGTGAGATGGCGAGTCGACTCGGTTTTTTGAGAGGCAACGAGATAGAGCGAAGTAGCTACCTCTTTAGCGGACTCTTCGATCGGACCCTTTGTTTGGTGTCAATGGCGGTTTTAAATTGGGAGAGAGAGAACGTTGCGATTGGTGACGTTGGGGAAAGAATTTGTGGGCTTACAGCGCGTTTTGTCATTTAAGCTTCGGACTATTCATGGGCCGTTTTATAGTGGTAAGGAGCCCGAAAAAACGCAGGCTCATAAATTGATGGGCATCAAATGGGCTTAGTCAATGGACAGCTTTATTTATTTAATTTTTTGGTATTAGACTGCTTTATTTTTGTCATTTACTATATATATATATATATATATATATATATTTTTTTTTTTGAGTTGATGTCTAATTGTTCGTGTAATAAGTTGTTGAATAATTCGATTTTACAGATAATTTAATTTTCCATTAATTCAAAGCCTATAAAAATAATTAAATATCCTTGTAATAATCAAGATATTGATTATTACTATACATCCATAAATCACATGTATGAATTTTCATGTCTTTTTTTTTTTTTTTTTTACATTTTCATTTAAGAATTTTACATCTTTTTAATTTTGTACCTTTCTATTTAAGTTTGATCATTGATGTTTCTTAACCAAATGATTACGATTTAAAAAAAAAGTATTTATATAAAAATAAAAATTAAACTATCATAAAATCATTATATCATTTAATCATGTATTTACTTATAACATACTAAACTTTATTATAAACTCACATTATTTTTTATATGAGACTATCCATATTAATTCCAATTAAACTTAAATTCAACCCTCTTTGAAGCTAAAAGCTTAAAAGACAAAACCAAAGTTACACGAAATTGACACAAGAAAAATAGTTTAAATAAGTTACAAAAATATCACTTGTACGTCACTTGTCTTAATTAAATTTTATCAATGAAAAAAAAAGTGGATTTGCGATACACTCAACTTGTGATATGCAAATCACATATAGCATAAACATAGGGCTAATAGATGATTTATACTATACATACAATTAACTTATAGTTATTCAACTTTTTTTTTCAATCACTAACTTAAGCGTTCAAATACATCTAAAAACCCTAACTTCAACACCACTTGATCATTATTTTTTCCTTAACAGTTAAAATGTATTTTTTTCATACATTTCATCAACTTAAAAATGCCTCAATAATTTGAAACCGTCTATTAAAAACAACAACCATATATTAAGCTAATGGATGCTATAACTTTTTAATATTTATTTACATTGTACTATAAGGAAAAATTTTTTTTTATTATTTTTAATGATAGATGTAAGGAAACGAATCAAATGGTGAATGGATAAGTAAAATATAATTTGACAAATGCTTTTCTTTTTATTTTGATAATTACTTTGAATTTAGGATAACTTGGTATTATTAATCTAATATATATATATATATGTATATATATATATATCATATATATATATATATATTATATTGCAATATACATAGCTATCAAATAATAATTATTGACGTGGATACTTACATAGATAATTTTTTTTTTTACATGTAAGATGAATATTAAAACTTATCATTATGATGACGCATAAGATATTTATATATTTAAAATATTATTAAATTATCTAAAATTTTAAATTTTAATCAAAAATAAATTTAAATTCTAATAAAATTCTTTTATCTTATATATCACTTTATCTTAATTTAAAATTAATTTTAAAATAATTTATCTTTTCTAATTTATCTACAATTAACATAAATATTTAATTACTATAACAAAGTTAAATTAAACTATAAAAATAGATCAGCCTTGATACGTAAATTTGCTTGATAAATATATATATATGATATGTATTATATATGCTTTGCTGAAAAAAAAAAAGAAAGGAAATACTAGGCAACCATTGTATTAAACATTGACTCTTGATTTTTTATTAAATAAGAAAAACCGATAGCAAAATTTTTAGTATTTAGTAAATGAATAGAAAAAAATATTTTTTAATGAAAAAAATTATTTTTATAATTCTTAAAAATTTATAAAAGTTTACACTTATTTTAGATAAACAGTATCATTTAAAATATGTTATGTATAAATTATCATTTAATTGTAAGTTAATATTTATAAATATATGATTATATGTTGATCAATAATTAAAAAATAAATTTAAAATTACGAAAAATTTAATAAAAAATCCCGTATATTGTACGGATTAAAAAAGCTAATTAATAGTTATAAAGCAAATTCCTCTTTTCTAATTTTTTTAATTAATATATATTAAAATTATTAATTGATTTTGACAATTCTTCTTTTTACGTTATACCACGGAGAGATTGCAAACAGGAAAACATGGTATGTGGTTCATAATTTACTATGAAAAAGAATTTGGGCAATGCACACAGGGCAAATGAGATCATGAGGACTATATCATCGTGAATATTGATTTTTTTTTAACTCGTAATTAGTAAAAGGAAACGACTGAAAGCATATAAGATGAGAGTTCTAACTTCACCATCTCCATTTTCTTATTCCCTTGGATTACAAAATAAAAAATAAAGAGAAAGAGGCTTAGCAGCCAAAATAAGATAACATCAAAAAAAATATTATTGTGTCACGTCATCTTGAATTAATACTCCATTCATCCATATTCTGTGAACCAGGACCTGAGCCTGAGGGGTCAATTTGTAATGGAGGTAAAGGAGCTGGATGATCATGCATATCTAGTGGAAGTTCTGGCAAAGGTGCTTCTCCCTGAAGAACTTTAAGAACTTGTCCTGCATTAGGCCTTTCCCTGTCATTAGGATTAGTACACCACAATCCCACCGTCAACAAGCATTGCATTTCATTTTCATCAAAATTTTCTAACCTTCCATCAGCAGCATCAAGAATATAGCCAGCAATGTATAAATGCCACACCAACCTAAGAAGTGCACCATTTCGATTAGGCTTTCTCCCACAGGCAATTTCCAAGGCCACAATCCCAAAGCTATACATGTCTGTTTCTCTGCGAGCTCTTCCTTCTTGCAAATATTCTGGTGCTATGTATCCAGTTGTTCCGACAATCATTGTTGTTTGAGTCCTCAATTCCGGGTCCACGAGTTTCGAAACTCCAAAATCACCAAGCTTGGTAGTGAAATCTGTGTCTAGCAAGACATTAGCTGATTTGATATCTCTATGTAGCACGCACTGCTCTGCACCTTCATGAAGATAGTAAAGGGCTGAGGCCAAACCCATAGCTATCTTATACCTAACATCCCAAGGGAGTGTCGGTTTATTACCATGAAGATGACTCTCAAGGCAGCCATTTGGCATGTATTCATAAACAAGTAACAATTGGTTTTGATCATGGCACCATCCAATGAACTTTACCAAGTTTCGATGTATTAAACGGCATATTATGTTCAGTTCGTTGATGAAAAAACTCTCGGATTCAGCGAATATTCTTTTTACAGCAACTAAGCGTTGATCATCTAATTCTCCTTTATAAACATGTGCAGATCCTCCTTTGCCCAACCTTCTATCATCTGCAAATCCATTGGTAGCTGTAAATAGTTCTTGGTATGAAAATCTTTTTGGTAAACCTCCTCCCTCAAGATGAGTTCCATTTGCATAACCATTCTCTTTTACACTATTGCCTTTCTTCTTTTTCAGCAGCAACCAACCTGTAACTAGGCCAAGCATTAAAGCGACGATTGAACAAACTGAAACAAGCAGAATCACATATCTCCTTTTGCTCTTCTTTTTACTATGCTTTCCTTGCTTGGTTTCCAAATTTGAAGTGAATTCCCATGATTTAATCTTGTTATACTCCTTCTTATCGCCTGTACTTGCTGAAAATCCAATTTTAACCCACTCTGGGAGAGTTTTCGTTAGATCAATCTGATAAGAAACAGAAGAGTTGCCCATAAAAACAGGGTGTTCGTCATAAGTCCAGAACACACTCAGGTTTTTGGTAGTGGCATTGTAAGTAATCCAGACATTAGCCACTTTTCCGCTATTTGAGCCAGCATCCCATGGGGCATAGGCAGCTGATGACATTGAGTTGTTATTGATCCCAACATGCTGTGTTGGTGGATCCCAACCTTCATTAATATAGCTGTCAAACTCAACAGAAATAATGTGATTTTGGGACGTGGCAGCAGTGGTGGTGCTATTCAATAACCCAAGGTATCCACCGGCTGAATTAGGTGGTATTTGATAGTCGACAGGAGCGAGGAAAAAGGCAAAACCATGACCATACTTAGTTGCATTTTTAGTATCGATGATGAATGAGTATTGGGTAGTGAAGTCTGCTACTGTCATGGTAGAGGCGTCCCATAGGCGGATAGGCTTCGAGTACACAGCCCGACCAACACGGCATCCAACATCAACGATGGTGAGCTCGATAGCTCCAAGTGAAGGATGGGCCTCACCTTCATAAAGTATGTTAGTAACAGTAGCATCGAAACTAGTGAAGTTAAAAGACACTGAATAAGCAAACGGAAGAAAAAATTGGATGAAGATGACAAGAAAAGCGCATATGAATGACATATTTGCAGACATGGTTTTGCTTTGCAGTGATGTTGAGACTTGAGACCAGGAATATTGTGTGTGGTTTAATACATAGCTTTTTCCTCGTCGCACTTATAATAGGATGGGATCTTAATTGTTAATTGTTTGGATGGTATAGTATAAGGATTTAATAGTAAGAAGTTGCAATGGAGAAAGAGCAAAAAATCCGCTGGGCCTGGACGTTGAAAACAATGGTACCTTTTTGGAAACTCACTAAGTTCCTCGTGGTTTTGCTTTGCAGTGCTGTTCAGACTTGAGACCAGGAATATTTTAATTGGGTTTATAAATAGCTTTTTCCTCGTTGCAATTATAATAGAATCGAATCTTAATTGTTTGGTTGGTATAGTATAATTAACAGTAAGAAGTTGAAATGGAAAAAGAGCAAAAACTAAGCTCGGCCTGGACGTTGAAAACAAGGGTACTCTCTTGGAAATCCAGTCTTAGTAGAAACAAATTCCTCGTTCACGACTGGAATGTTTCTCCTTAATGAGAAATGGCATATTTATGCATCCAAGAATGCAGCTAAAAAGAGTTCAACAAAGACAAAGTTGCTATAAAAGCTTCAACCAGAAGCCTAAAAATCTTGCTAAGCCCACTTTCACAGAACAGGAAAGTGAGATGAAGCCACGGAGGGCTTCCTGCAAAAGCATGAAACTGCAGTAGCATTTTCATTAATTACGTGCTTGTGCAACTTTTGGTAAATAATAACAATAAAACAGTAACTGTGTTTTTTTTTTATTAAGTTCTAATCCACTCTTAAATCTCTCTGCCCTATTACATACTTAACTTAAAAATACCCTATTACATACTTAATTAAAAAAAATATATTACACCTCTAAATTTCGACTTCAACCACATATCATTCGATTTAAAGGATAATCAATAACAGTAACTGTTATTTGAATACCAACAAACTCATAGCTTAAATTATCATGCTCTCTATGTTAAAACAAAATTGTAATCCTACTAAAATTTAATCATTTAATTGATTTATGTTGATTTATTTATCTACTTTCTATCGTTCTTTTTAATTTTTATTTATATTTTATGCCATTTTCATCTCTATTTATATTTTATCTTTTTTTTCAAAATCAAAATATAAAAATCATGTGACGGTAAAAAGCTATAATAATTTTAATTTCTTATTTGTAATTAGCAAATTATCCAAGAACTTAAATCATAAACATGACAAAATTACTCCAAAAAATTGCCTTTCTTTCTTCCATTTTCTAAAAGATATTAATTTCTTTAACATACACCACCATGGTATTATTTAGGGTGGGCGGTAGTAACATTGTTGTATTATATTATAAAAAATAAAATAAAATAAAATAAAAGTTTTCAATGAGTAATTAATTAATACCATGCATTATGCAACATCATATAAGAGTTATTCCCATATAAGCATAGGGTTTGATTTTCATATATATAATAATTAAATATTATATCTGGCTAAAATATAATAAACACAATGCACTCTCAATGCGTTACTACGATGATAATTGTGAATCAAATTGGACAAAATCTTAGGAGGCAAATTGAGCAACAAGTTCTATGCAGATGACATTCTACAAGCTGTAGGATCCCACAGCCTAATCCAGTTGGATTCAAGAATGGCTCCAAAAAGATGATGAGGCCGCATGACAGATTTGTAGTTCAATCCTAAATCAAGCAATTCAATACTCGTTATTTATTTCAGCATACCATCAGTGCAGCAAATTTGAACTGCACACAGCACTTTCAAAATCTATAAGCATATAATTCTACGGAATTAATGAAAATTATTTGCACTCATTGAGGTAAATATTTGTCTACAGATCAGAGTCAGAGGCCTTTTAATAGATAATTTCCATTTCAAACAATTAAACTACTACCCCTCCACCCTGCCAAAAAAGCAAGCAATGATGCAGTCAATGCAACTGGATAACAAATTCAAGCTCATGAACCAACTTCAAAGTGTTCTGGCTCTTAAACATTAGCCATGCTAAGCATCTCACATTCACATCGCAAACCTACCTAAGATAAGCCAATAATACCCTTCACATTTACACACAAGTCCATTGAAATTTTGCAGAAGGTATAAAGAAAATGTCAAGTCAAGCCAAGTCCATGAGACATAATTACTTGATTTTGCATAGACATTAACAACCTCTATTTATTGTGCAAATTATTTAAAAAGAAAGAAAATAGAGCATAGAAGCCAAAAGTTTCAACATTAAATGATGTGTGTGCTTGCGAATGCGAGAATAAAGCAACAGCATACTAGCCTGAAGAAACAAAAGCCAGCTACATAATAGCACTTTCAGAGCGTGCACTTGAGACCAGGAATATTGTAATTGGTTTAATACTTAGCTTTTTCCTCGTTGCACTTATAATAGGATGGAATCTTAATTGTTTGGACGGTATAGTATAATTAATTGTGAGAAGTTGCAGCGAAAAGAGGGAAAAGAATCAGTTGGACCTGGACGATGAAAACAATGGTACCAAGACGGTGATATCTTCTTAGAAATTCAGTCCGAGTACAAACAAATCCCTCGTTCGCGATAAGAATGTTGCTCATCAGATACCATTTCCAAGCCGAAGCAGAGAGGTGCCTTCATTTGCTCACCTTCTGGGTAGGAAGGTGCAGCCTAACTGAGGGAAGTTTGGACTGGGAATCTTTCCCCTCATTGTCTTCATGGTCTAGTTCAGATAACTGTGAAATTTTGTAAAACTTTTTTAACTTTGAATTGCAATATTTAACATGGTGGAATATAATTATACTTGTTTATTCTTTCCCAGATAAGCCATGACTCATGGGATTTTCAATGAGTTTAAGGGAAACATCAATGGAGAAAATAGCTCATTAAGATCACCGTTTGCAACAGGAAAAACATGACATACAAGACAATCATATATTGTATAGGAAAGAAAAAGAAAGAAAAACAACACATACTTCGGTGCTAATTATAGCGTAGACGGTTGTTAGTAACTAAAAGTGATTGATCATAACTGACCCGACTTTGACAATTTTTTTTTGGTACATAAGATGGTGTGGTTCATGAAAAGGATAAAAAATTTTGGTTCAAAACTAAAACCTATATATTTTTTTAAGAGCTCATTAATCACTAAGTCAAAGAGCTGAAGCTGTTTCTATTAATTACTGTTTGTTTAAGGATTATTAAGCAAAATGAAAATGCTAATTTTTTTGGAAGATATTTTTTATCTAATAATACATTTTTCTCCTTAAATTCAAGTAGAGATTAATTTTGTTTGTAATACAAAATTTAAATAAATATCTTGAAACTTTGAGATCTTAAATTTAAATTTCACAACATATAAATTTGACCAAAAATTATATTGATTTTATTCGGTTAATTTGTTGATTTATGATTTATCTATTTGATTTAATTAATTAATTTTTTAATGATATCTAATGTTTGATTATGATTAAATTTTTTTAATTATATTAACAATTTAAAAAATACATAAATAATAATTGTATGAATGTAGTACAATGATTTTTTAATAATGTTATTTTTTAAAAAATAACAAGTATGAAAATTAAACAAACAAGTTTCTTTAATTAATATATAACTATGTTTCCAAGTTTAAGGCCAAGGGCAATATAATTTTAGTACGAAATATTTAATAAAATGGTCCAAAATTATTAATTTATTATACATTCACATTTAAAAATATTATCTAAAAAAAAGTTTGTTGTAACCCAATTAGTACATCACAAAATTCACGATATTAATTAATTTTTAAAACAAATTTATAATTTCATAACAATTTTACCATTTAACTGTGATTATTATTCATGTTGATTTATATAATTACTTTCAATCATAGTTTTCGATCTTGCTTTATATTTTGTCTTTTTTTTTAAAATCAAAATATAAAAATCATGTACTGATAAATAACTATATTAGTTTCACTTTCTTATATGTAATTAGTGAACTTTCCAAGATCTTAATTCATAAACATGATAAAATTACTAGAAAAGCTGTAAGCTTTTCCTTCCATCTTCTAAAAGTAATGAATTTCTTGAACATGTATCCCCATGGTATCATATAGTATTTGTAAACATTGTTGCATCATGTTACCAAAAATAAAAATAAATGAAACAAAGCATCATGAAATGAGCAGAACATGCTTTCAATGAGTAACTAATTAATACCATGCATTATGCAACATCATATAAGAGCTATTCCTATATAAACATAGGGTTTGATTTTCATATTAATAATAATTAGATATTATATCTGGCTAAAATAGAATAAACACAGTGCACTCTCAATGTGTTCATGAGATGATAATTGTGAATCGAAATTGACAAAATCTTAGGAGGCAAATTGAGCAATAAGTTCTATATAGATATGACATTCTAAAAAACCTGTAGGATCCCAATTGCATTCAAGAATGGCTCCAAAAAGATGTTGATCAGTCAGAGGTGACAGAGTTGTAGTTCAATCCTAAATCAAGCAATTCAATTCTAGTTATTTGTTTCAGCATAAGATCAGTGGAGCAAATTGAAAGTGCACACAGCACATACAAAAACTATAAGCATATAACTCTACCGAGTTAATGTAAACTATTTGATGTAAAATAAATTAAAATAAAACAATGCTACTCATTATAATACAACAATGTAACATCATATAAGAGCTATTCCCATATAAACATAGGATTTTATTTTCATATATATATAATAATTAAATATTATATCTGGCTAAAATACAACAAACACAATGCACTCTCAATGTGTTCCTAAGATGATAATTGTGAATCGAAATTGACAAAATCTTAGGAGGCAAATTGTGCAACAAGTCCTATACAGATATGACATTCTACAAGCGGTAGGATCCCACAGGCCAACCCAGTTGCGTTCAAGAATGGCTCCAAAAAGATGATCAGTCAGTGGCACGACGGAGTTGTAGTTCAACCCTAAATCAAGCAATTCAAAACTAGTTATTTATGTCAGCGTAGGATCAGTGCAGCAACTTTGAAGTGCACATAGCACATACAAAAACTATAAGCAGATATTCTACCAAATTAAGGTAAACTGTTTGTACTCGTTGATGTAAATATTTGTCAGCAGATCAGAGTCAAAGAACTTTTAATAGATAATATCCATGTTGAACAATTAAACCGCTACCCTGCCACCCACCCCCTCAAGAAAAAAATGCACGCAATGATGCAGTCAATGCAAAAGTGGAAATCAAATTAAAGCCACCAACCAGCTTCAAAGTGTTCTGGCTCCTAAAATGTTAGCCATGCTAAGTGTTTCACATTCACATCCCAAACCTACCTAAGATAAGTCAATGATAGCTTTCACATTTACACGCAAGTCCATTGAAATTTTGAAGAAGGTATAAACAAAGTTCAAGCCAAGTCCATGAGATATAATTACTTGATTTTGCATAGACATGCACAACCTCTATATTGTGCAAAGAATTTAAAATTAAAAAAAAGAAAATAGAGTGTAGAAGCCAAATGATGTGTGCACTTGTAAGTGCGAGAATAAAGCAACAGCATACTAGCATCAAGAAACAAAAACCAGCTACATATATTTAAAGTGACTTACTTTGCATAAGGATCCAAACACTTAACAGTCTGACACATAGCATGTAGCATCATTTTCCTGACCTGTTTCAGACAAGGAAACCAGAAAACAGCATTTCTTGTGTCAGAACTCCCAACTTTTATGTTAAAAAATAAAACACGGTCAGAACTTTATGCAGCTATGCCAAAATCAGAACTCCCAACTTTTATGTTAAAAAATAAACCACTGTTACAAGAACTTTAAGCAGATATGCCAAAATCCTAGCAACTTGTTTAGGGGCATATCAATCTCAAGCCCCAACTACCACATTGCTGAATCAGTTGCAAAATAACCTAGAAGAAACTAAAAGTTGGAGTATACAAAAGTTCCATATACAACATATGGGGATGAGAAGCATCACCAATAGCTAGGAAGTTAACAGACAAATGTAGAGATAACAGAGAAGGTAGTGTTCTGGCATCGGTTTAACAGATATTATTGACGAACTGGAGAGGAAAACTAATGCTTGAGTACATCTGGGAAAAAAGGTTTCCATAAAAATCATAGCTAAGCAAGCATGCACTCACGAACAGGTATTATGCTCCAAAATAAACTTTCTTTTCAGTTGGACATCAAATCAGAAAAATCACACCTGTCCCTCTCTACCAAGGCAAAAAAAAAAAAAAAAAATAGAAAATACAGCATCTAGTCCAGTGCTTATTAACCACATACCTCTAGTTTGTCCTCTTTAGCTCTGTGACCTTGTGGAAGTAATCGAAATTCTTCAGTCAATCGAATGCATTCACCAACATTCTCAGGTGAAACAAAGTCAAGAGCAACCTTTATGCATGACTAGAAGACAGAAATAAAAGAGCATCAGAAATCAGACACATCATAAATACCATCTGTAGTAGCCATAGGCCCATAGCTACAGCTCTAACAACTAAAAGGGCTAATGCTTGTACCTTATCCAATAAGGAAAACATCATTAGTACTGATAACCATTTTGGTTACATGTTGCATGAGCATAGAATGTGCACATATAATTAACAAACCCCAAAAGAAAATGAGATTCCTAAAGTGTGTGCGGTGTCCCAATAAAATGATACCATATTCCCAAGCCTCTTGTATCCACAACTCCAAATGTGCTAGGCAGCAGGTTTCATGATTAAATATCCTATAATATCATTATAGACAAGTTAAAACCATCTCTGCAGCTAAAAATCTGGGCACAACGTGAGATTACTCCAAGATGTAAAATTTAGGCAGAACCTAATTAAACTGAACAGCTTAAAAATCCAGGACAGCACAACATACACGACATAATTGAAGGTGTTATCCCCTTTGCCATGCCAGAACACCACATTTCAAAATGCAAGCCATCCATTGACACTTTCGAGGAAACAAATGTAGATTCCATATTCATGAGAATTGACTCAAATCAAAATGCAATTTTTATCATGCAAATACTTCTCATAGGGGACATGAAAAGTCCGAATGCACACATTTCTTACCTTAATGTTCCTGACTTGATGAGGACAGCCTGCAGGAATAAAAACAGCTTCCCCCAGCTTCTGTACAAATGTCCATGGCTCAATTCCTACGTGAAAGTATTCAATATAACCACAATAAGAGATTGAACTTTTTCTGACTGGTCCAAAGTTACTTAGACATCGTAACTTACCATACTCCTCCTTAAGCCTTTTCTTATGCTCCAAACTGAGAAATAATGTCTGATCATGTACAGGGTCAACAATCTGTGTTGCCCAAAGAAAGAATAAATAATAAGAAATGGTTCCCTAAATTGACAAAATTAGAAATAACAGCAACCAGAATTCATTGAGAAGTTCAATCCCAATAATTTAGGTGATGATTTAATTTACCAAGCTCAAGCAGGCAGCAAAAAAGATACGCGGGGCCCAATGTTTACTCGAAGTCAAATTATTTTAAATTCCAATTTTTCATGCTGTTCAAAGGTATCATATACATTATGTAGTTATGGATAGCAGTATATACCCATTTCTTGACTGCAGATTTTGAGTAAGTTTATTGGAAGAAAAAAGACAGAAAAATTCCAAACTAATGACAAGTATGTACATGTGCCAATACATCCCTTCAAGATATCTTGGCAGTGTTGATTTGAATTCCAAAAGCATTGAAACAGATAATACAATATTTATAGCTCCCCATATCTTTAAGCAGATTGACTTACAAAATAAAACACTGCAAAATCTGACTCAAATGGCTAATCGTATACATAACTGTAATAACTAACAGAAAATTTATCATGGCCAACGAAATACATAAAATTAGTCACACCAAAATAGTGTTGGGATTAACTCTCCCTCCCCCAACTTAAATGATGGAGAAAAACGACAACAGACTGCAACACTAACCATTTGTTCACATACGATAAGTTCAAACGTAAATGTACAAGGACATTAAACTTTTGTTCAAAATACAGTAGTTACCTGTGGCACAGGACAACAATGAGTATGCCTAAACTCCCTAAAATGCTTCTTAAGATAATCCTTCAGCTTCGGAACATCTTGTCTCCGGAAAATGTCCCAAATTGCACCTGCCTCATTAGCTTCTAAGTGACCACCTTCATTGCTAGGCTCCTTATCACTGGTGGCAATGTCACAAAACCTACCACCACGCTTCCTCCTGTAAACCTTTACATTCATCCCAAATATTTCTTTCTGGTCTTGTGCACAGTGTTTTTGTTTCAACTTCTCTATGATTTCAAGCTTTTCAGGTTTTAGTTTCACTTCTGCAGTATGTGTCAAAACATTCACCTGAAACAGTGAAAGTAACACTAAATAAAGAAAATCAAGAATCATTTATTAAAGCTATGTTTGGTAGGGAGGATGAAAAATTTTTTAATCTAATTGTTGACGTAACAACATGTGCTATTTTGTAGCTCAACCATTAGATTAAAACTTTTTCCATCCTTTAACCTTTCTTTCCTTCCTAGCAAATACCAATCTTTTCTCGTCGTTGAGTCAAGGTAACATACAAGGATTATTACTTTAAACAATTTAGATCAGAAAGGGAATGTCATTATAGGCCTTTCACTCAATTATAGCGTCTCTGCACATTACTTAATTATAAAAAAAAAAAAAAAAGGTTGCAGAACTATAGTCAGTCAAAGGTAAAATGAAATTTTCAATTATACTTACTGACCTCCAAATGAGTTGGGGTGCATGGTTGCCAAAGAAAAATTAACAAATAAATGCATCAAAAGAAAAGTCATTTAATCACATTTAATAATATGTAAATGCAACTCCACACAATAAGTTGGAGATACATTAACCACTGGGTAAAAACCAGTGGCTTAAAATTTATAATTCTGTTTAACAGCCTTTAAATAAGCTATATCATTCCTGCCAATAGAAGAACCATCATTGCCTGATATATAACAAAGATCAAGTATTCACCTAAACTAAAAAGGTCATCGTCAAACGCAAGCACTTCAGAGAGCAAGCATTAAATTTGAAATCACCACAACACATAGTCACAAACATTGATTGAGCTGGCTTAAAGACTTTACCAAATTTGATGAAATATCTAAATTAGAGGCATATTTATGCTGTTACTTTGAAACAACCATGACTAATTGCAATATCGCCAACATGACACTCCTAAATACATAAAAATTGAGGACAAGAGAAGTGAATGTACATAAAAGATTCACAGTTTCATTACATAAACCTTGTAAGCAATTTATGGTATACTGAGGCAAAAGTACACATTTTAACTTCATGCACAAAAAGTCTGAGCTAGAACACAGGTACAATTACCATAAGTATGTAAATGAACAAGTTGAGCAACATTGAAAAGTAAAAAATTAAACTTAAAAAACGAGGAGAGTGGAAGGGAGAAGTAACCATATACCGCATCAGACATATCACAATGAAGCTTTGTTACAGAGTCTCCGCGTCCAAGCTCCTGAGCAACTCCATAAGCAATATATGTCTTTGGCCCCATGTCTGGCTTAAGGGAATCCGATGGCAATTTGGTAGCAAGATTTAGAAGCCCACTTAGAGAATGTGTATATTCCTTAAATGGCAAACAACAAAGAAATTCAGCATGGTGACGTGGAAGACGCTCCTCAAATTTGTTAGAAGGGGGCCAATCTTTCAACTTAAATATCTGGGGCCATTCTTTTCTGTCAAAGCAACCTTCTGTATACCCTTTAAAGAACTGGTGAATATTGATCTGTACCTGCATTCCATCAGAACAGCTGAATTAGAAACCAAGCTCACTGTGTCCTAAACAGTAAAATCAATTGGAAAATTGAAAAGGCACAGTTCAGTTCAAAGAATTAGCATATTAGAACTGATATTACCATGTGTGTGTAGACAAAGACATAAAAATGCTCCCCATTATTTTCAAGTAGTTTAATTTGCTGAAACTTAACTAGATTCAACCTAATGCTATTCCTAACTTTCCTCACTTAACTAGATTCAACCTATTGATATTCCCAACTTTCCCCATATCAACTAAAACATAAAAAGTACCAAGAATATATAACTCTGAAAAAAGCAAGAACGAGAAGGATGAAAGTCTTCAAAAGATAAACAAGGTACCATCCAAAACAGAAATTGGCGAGATCATTTTATGAAAAGATTGAATGCGCGTCAGGGGAGAGTCCAAAGATGCATGCCCTACCTTATTTTAAATGCTTCTTTAGCAAACAATTAATGTAAGTGGAGACTCTGATCAAATTGATTAATTTATGAGAGCATTTCATGTCATCAATGATAAAAGAAAAACATTTTCAAGTTCCACGACTATTCTCTAATGTCAAGTTGCTCCTTTCCAAGAAATGGTCAATATGAATAAACAAATCCCAAAACACTGCACTTTGCAGAGAACAAAGATCCCAGCATGTAAATTTCCCCATTAAGACATCCAAATAAGCATGGTATGAAGGACACTAAATCATAAACTACTAAAATTCCTACATAAAACAAGATACATGTCAAATAGGAAAGTGCTAAGTTATATCTAACTTAAGGACCACATAATATTTGGAAACCTTTGCATTCAAATCACATAATCTGGACTTTCATATTCACTAATTTAGTTCTTAAACTCAAGAATGATTGCCACAGCTGCTGGATCAAAATAATACCAGTATGGCACTGATATGATCTCCCTAACAAAATACCTTCCATGGATTCTTTTCTTTTCCAACATTCTTGCTCAAATGGAAAAACCATAACTGGCACCTTAAGGAAATGAAAAAAGATATAAAACAAAATATTTGTAATTAGAAGTTATGCAGGTCAGTTGAATATGAAATGTTTCAGACACTAAATGATAGAAGCCAGTAGCGAAACTTACCTCACACCAGTCTAAGCAATCGATGGCTGTAACATCCAGATGTTGACTGTGTTTAGTGTTAGTTATCTGACGAAAAGCACGCCACATAACCATTGGTTCCCAGCTCACTCCAGATGCATTCTCAAGCACTTGACTGACAATAACAGGCTCACCTTTAGCCCAATGCCTTTGGAAATGATTCAGGTCTGCATTCTGAATATCTCTTGCTGATGGACAATACAAATAGTTGTCACTGGAATCTTCTCTTGAAGCAGCTTTCCGTAATTTACACTTACTCAAATCAACTTCGGCTATTGATTTGTAACAAGGGCACTGTTGGTTAGTAGTCTGAGGCCTGTTTTCCAGATTGAGACTTCTGGCTATTCTTTCTGCATTTTCCACCAGCTTAACAATGGAATTTTCTTCAAACATGCACCTCAACTCCAAAAGGGCCTCACCACAACCACCCAAGTGCTTTGGAGGGCAAGTAATGCTACCAGTTTCATTTGCTTTCCACCTAGATGCCACCCCTTCAAGTTCTTTAGAAGTTTTGGCAGACAAATCAATTGGCTTCACCTTTTCAGCTAACATAGGTTGGTCAAATTCACCATGCAAATAGCCAAAACCCCTGTCAACATATGACCCAGTAACTTCCTTTTCCCATCCTTGCATGTGGCCCTCACGAATTTCTTGACAACAAGTGAGGCAAAGATCATAGTTACAATGAGGACAGGTTCTATGAAAGTCAACGATCGAAGTTTTGCAGTTGTTACTGTAAAAGCATGATGTGGAATTATGAAAACCATAAATGTTAACAGGTATTAATTAATGCAAGAAAAACAGTAATAGTCATTGACGGTAATAATAAGTACGTACCAATAAACACGCTCCTTTGGATGACAAACTGCTTGCTTCAGCTTTATTTCTGATGGCAATTGCCCTATCCATCAAAGGATCACATCACAAAATGGATATTATTAGTCACGTTGATTAAAAATCAGAGAAAACAACCATATTAGATTTAAAAACTTGTCCTAATGAATAGTTTAGTTTCTTGTTTCCAGATTTTGATGAGGCAGGAGGAAGCAGCATATAGAGAAACAAACCGCTATGGCAGAAGAAAAGATTATTAATGAACCAATCTGGGAAATTACTATCAGATCAAGTTGATAATAAGGGTAATAATGAGTACTATCAGATTTAGTTGATAAACAAGTGTAATATCAGATCAAGCTGGCAACTAAAACAAGTTTCGATTTGGAAATCAAGGATATAAAACATACCTTGAATCTGGGCCTCGATCACCTTCTCCATCATTTGTTTTTGACTAAATTGTTTGATGTAGGGGAGAAGTGCCTGAAGCAAGTATTTAGAATGATGAAGCCCAGCATCCTTACTAAACTTCAGCTCTAAAGCTTTCCTCAATTTCTAAAGCATATCATGGATAAGCATAGCATTTATCAGTCTTTATCAATCATCAACTAATATATAAATCAAAAATCAGTGAAGCATGAAATGTAAAACTAACATTGACAGGACCATCCATGCGCAAGCAGGCCTTGCAATTACAATTATCCCGACAAACTGGGCAGGCACTAGCAATTTCGTCCTCTAACATTTGGGGATACCTAAGTATGGAAATAAAAAAAGGAAGAATAAGAAAGAGTACCCAACTTAACATAAAAGGAAAAAAAAAAGCAGCAACAATATATCACTCATAAAAGTAAGAATAACAATTAAAAAAAAAGAAACAAATTCAAGAATTCAACTTAACATAAAAAAAAAAAAAAAAGCAAAAGCAGCAACATTTTATCACTCATAAAAGTAAGGATAACAATCAAATAAGAAGCAAATTCAAGAAGTAAAACAAATAAATTTCAGGCATGATAAAAGTGAGCCAACCATATTCTTCAACATTCAAATCATAATAATAATGGCAAGGTATCAAAGAACAAAAGAAAGTAAAGTCAATGTAAGAAGAAATCTATAAATACTCACATTTTTATCATAATCGTTTCTTAAATACAAAACATGAGAAAATTGGCAAATACAAACAACTAACAATCTATGGTTAGGGTTCATTTGAACAATTTCCGACATAAAACTCATAACTTTTTCAAGCCTCAATATGATTAGGCTACAATAACTTCGTTAAATTATTCACCAACTAGATTTAAAGTTTAGTTGAAGCTTTTCTAGAAAAAGAAATGGCTGCCTAAACATTTAACTCTATTAAGTATCAATCTCGCTAGAAAACATTAACTGTCAACAACAAGAACAACAAAGTCTAAAGCAGTTGAGAAACACCCAAATCCAAAACAGAATTAATGAAATAGAAACTCAAGTAAATGGACAGTGCATTGAATCTTAAAACAAATTATTAATGATTTTGAGAAAAAATATAAAGGAAATAATACCAATTGGTTATACAGGGGATGCAATATCGTTTCCTCTTACATCGTGTGCAATTCACGACCCTTCCTTTATCATTCCTCTGGCATTGATGGCACATTAGAGAGTCCTATTCAAGAATGGGAAAATATATATATAAGAAACCGTGAATAAATTATTAAAAAAAACTTAAAAGAGGAAAGGGTTTCTTACTTTAGAAGGAGTTTTCTTCAACACAAATTCACCCATTCTCTTTGGTACTGTTGATGCCCTACATGGATATCTTCTACCTTCCTCCTCTGTTTCATTCTCTTCAGTTCCTTCACTTTTGGCCTCTTTTCTTTTTTTCCCACTTTTTCCTTTACTGTTTTCCTTCTCATTATTATCTTCTTCATCTTTAGCTTCCGAAACTTTCCCCTTTTGCTCATCACCCTTTTTTCTTTTCTTCTGAATCAACCCTTTTTCTTCTTCTTCAAACCCTCGATCCTCAATACAGTAATTTACCCTTCGAGCAGGTCTTAATCTCTCCTTCAATGTCTCTCGAAATTCGATACTTCCCTTCTCAACAATACTTGCAATTTCTTCCACTGTCTCCGAATTTTCCTCCTCGTTTCCCTCCCCTTCTGTATCCTTCTTTTTACTCTGCTTCTTCTCCATCTTATTCACTTTCTCATCCTCCGTTTGCTCAACGGTTCCTTCCTCTTCTCCTTTGGCATTCTCCTCCTGAGTGGCGCATTGCATTTCGTCGCAAATTCCAGGTGCTCTTTCGGCTCTCTGCCTCTTCCTTGGACGAGTCATGGGAACCTGGAAAGCTGTTTTTTTGTATATTCAGAGAGATTCTGGTTGTTTGGGAAAAAAAAGGCAACGAGAGTTTTAAAAGACGAATAATTAATTATAAATAGAGGTAAGAGTTTTGGGATAATCAGGAAAAACAGTGGGCTCTGAAACTAGGCCCCCACTTGAAACTATGTACTTGTTTTTTTCCTTTTTAGGGTTTATTGTGGGGTTTAAATTTTGAGTTTCAAAATTTTTCAAAAATCTATTCATTGCAGTTTAATTACACCTGCTATTTATATATTTATATATATATAATTGAATTATAATATAATTAATAAATTTTATATAAAAATAAAAATTTTGATGAAAAACACCAATTGCTAAAGATTACTTAAATTAATGAAAATATTAAAGATTATTGATGCAATTAAAAAATAAGGTTAAAAAATAAAAATCCACATAAATGTCAATAATATATAATACTCCCGCTGTCTTAAAATTATTATTCATTATTGATTTTTTTATCAAATTAACTCAACTTTAATCATTATTTTTATAAAATCTTATAATTAAAAAAAATTAAAAATACGATTTGTAATCTTTGAGTTTGAATTTTTTAAATTATATACATATTTTTTTAAGTTTTAATTTAATATTATATTTCAAAAAATAAGGTGAAAGTATAATTATTTTAACCAAAAAAGTCAGCAGAGTACAATTATTTTTGGATGGATAGAGTATATCTTATTTTGAAATTTGACTTCATTGTTGATTTTAATACAAAGGAAAAAACTTTGAACTAGATAAAAAATATTATTACTCATTTCGATTGTCAAAGATCTTTATTCAAATTCATATTAGTTGTCTCAAAACAAAATTGATTTTATTGAATAAATTAAATTGACTATATGAACATATTGATGCATTATTCAAATTATTTGTCTCAAATCAAAGTTGTTTGCCGGAGTCTTTTTGGTAGTTTGTTTCATGAAAAATAGATTTTAAAAAATAATTTTTGTATTTTTAAGCATTTATTTAATTAAAAATTGACTAGTCAACAAAAATTAATTTATTGATTAATGAAAAATAAAATAATTTTCTAAAATTTTATCTTACGGATTTAAAAATGAAAAGAAATTTTTTGAAAAAAAATTATTTATGAATAAAATTATTTATTAATACTTTTGAATATAATTTTACTTATAAATAATGTTATATTAATAAATAAAAAATATTATAATATATTAATAACTAATATTATTTTAATAAATAAAATATTAATAAATAATATTACAAAATAAATATTATACTAATATATTAATTTTAATAAATATTATTATATTAATAAATAATAATATTATATTAATAAATCAAATATTAATAAATATTATTAAAATAATATATTAATATATTAATAAATAATATTATAATAAATAACATTATATTAATAAATGATATTATTATATTAATAAATAATATAATAAATATTATTAATTAATTAATAATATATAATATATATAAATGATTATAATAAATATTATTAATTTAATTAATAAATATATTAATAATATATTAATAAATATTATTAATTAATAATATATTAATATATTAATAAATAATATAAAGAATAATAAATAATTTTATTTTAAGTATTTTTATATTCACATAATATTTTTATATTAAATATTATTACAAAATATAATTATTTTTTAAATTAATAATTTTTAATATTTTAATAGTTGTATTAATATAAATATTTTTCATAAATCATTTTCTGAAAAATAAATGGAACCTTAATTAAATATGATGTTCTATTCTACTTGCATGGAAAAGAAAATCAAACATATTATTTTTTTGTGAAAATATCTAGTGATTGAATTGAAATTGAATAATTATGATAAAAAAATTTGAATATGAAATTAGAAAGTATTTGGATTTACCATAATGAAGCTAATAAGTATTTTAGCCATTTGTTTGATTACATCTTTTAATTGAAGAATGCCAATATTAAGAGTGTAATTTAGCTTAATTGAGTTAATAGAGTGAAAAGTTTAAATTTGATTGAATTTTAATTTTAAATTTAAATTTGACTTAAAATAAAAATTAAACTATTTGAATTCATTCAATAACTTTCGTATAATAAAAAATAAGCTTGATTTTTATGTTCAATTTTAAATTTGATTATGTGTTTGAATTCGAATTTAAGCTCAAATTGATATATATATATATATATATAAAGATAAAATAATATTTTTAAATTAAAATAATAAAAATATATTAAAATTTAAAATTTTAATTAATCTCATGAATTAATCAAGTTAAATATTAAAATATTCGAATTCGGCTCACTTAATAAATTGAGCTATCAAACTCGACTTGATAATGATCAAATCGATTTTGAATTTTATTTGAACCAAATTCAAATAACTTATTAACATTGATATATAATTTACATTTTTAATTGGTGCCAAAAATTCATCATCTATTTTGAAATTTTTACAATAAAAAAAAAAATAGTACTGATAGACTAAAAAATAAAAGAATAAGGTTATAAAAAAATTATATCTTTTAAAGTGTTATGATTCAAGGAATGATACAACATTCAAGCAATCTATGTCTTTGCATCATTCTTTAATTTCTTTAAGGATATATGTGTTGCACAAGAGGATGAAGTGGATACGATAAGGTTAGAAAATGAACGATCTTATCGTATCTTATGCTGGTTTATGCAAGATCAAAAGTGGCATATGATAATTTTTATTGTATGCCATGTTTGGTGCAGATACGATTAAATTAAAAAGATAGATATATATATATATATGTATAGAGAGAGAGAGAGAGAGAGCACCAAAACACAATTAAACTGATAAAATTACTATATTGATTCCTAGTAACTACCTAGGACATTTTCCCTTGGACCAATAAAGACATCTTTGGCGATGAAGAACCAGTGGCCCTAGCCTTTGGCTTGGATAGGGGATAAATTTTGTCTAACCCAAACAATTGATTTGCAATGAAATTCTCTCTTGATATCCCAAAGCTTATCACATTTTTTGCATTTCTGGTTATTGAGCTGATGCATGCGGGCGTCTTTTATCTTTAGTTGTTATGGATGGTATAGTTCAACTCTGCAAGTAATCTATTCTTTTCCATTTTCTTTTTGGGTGAGGTGGGAGAGTCTTTGATCAAGTGTGATTCTATTATTAATAATGAAACTGTCTCATCGGAAGCAGGATAAAGGATTTCTTCCTTTTATCAGCTGCATTGCTGTCAACAACTATTTTGCATTCTGAAGCTGAAGATGTTGTGGACATTTCTATGGAGATTTTGTCATCTATTGGATCCATAATTCTGTTCCTTCTTTTTTGTCGCTCAGGTTTTGTTAATTACTCTGCATCCAATATCACATTGTGTTATCAAGCTCAATGATGGTTGTGATTGATGCTATGGTACTTCTGTTTCAGGTTTGGCTTTCCTCCTACATCAGCCTGAACTTACTGCTACTGTAATTCATGCCACGAAGGGTGTTGATGCTATGAGTAAGGAAGAGTGTGTTCCTCTTCGGTATGCATATGTTTTAATATGTCAAGGTTTTACTTGCAGTCCACGGGAAATTGGAATCATTGTTGAGACACATTTGAGGGTGGTTAGTTCCTTTTCTTAGTTTATGCAAATATTGATACTTGCTTCCTCTCTCTCTCTCTCTCTAATTTCACTACCAACATGAGACTAAGTATGACTCTTTTTTGGATATTTTATTGTAGGTTAACGCCATGGATCGTTTCCTTTCATCAACTCAACAGTCTGAAGAATTTCTATGGGCATCGTGGGAGTTGTGTGGTATTGCGAGGTGAATTGGTTTATCTATTTCTTAAGCTCTGGGCTTCAACTACAACATTGATGGTTCTGACTAAACTTGTTTTATATTTAGCAGGTCTGATTGTGGACGCCAGGCTTTATTAGCCCTGAGTTTCTTTCCTGAGGTGTTTGCAAATATTCTCTGTAGTTAATATTATCTATAGTGTGCCTTAAACTTGGATTCTGTTTGATACTTTTGATTTGTTATTAACATCATTTATTCATTTTACTGCTCTTATTATCCCCTTCCTTGGGCAGGTGGTTTCAATTCTGATTGAAGCTTTGCTTTCTGTCAAGGAATCAGAGCCTGGCATCAAGAATAGTGGTACTGTTATTCTGTGTTTAGGTTAAATAAGTTGAAAAGTTTCTTGGTTGCTTGCACAACACACGGGCTCATGTTTGTTACATTCTTGTTATTCAGGCGCTTCACCACTTAATCTTGCGATATTACACTCAGCTGCTGAGATTGTTGAAGTCATTGCTACTGTTTCAACTGCAACCTCTGTCCTCTTGGATTGGACATGCCATGGAACTTCATAAAGCTTTACATTCTTCTTCCCCTGGGTCCAATAGGAAAGATGCTCCTACACGCCTGTTAGAGTGGATTGATGCTGGTTTAGTTTATCATAAAAATGGGGCTATTGGTCTTCTAATATATGCTGCAGTATTGGCTTGTGGAGGAGACACTCACCTTACCTCAACCAACATTCTAGTTTCTGATTTGACAGGTGTTGATAATGTTATTGGAGAATCTTCTAATGCTTCTGACATTAATGTCATGGAGAATCTTGGAAGCATTATCTCTGTAAAGTCCTTTGATGGTGCTAACCTCTGTGACTCTTCTATAGCACAGCTGACAACTGCATTTAGAATTTTGGCATTCACTTCAGAGAATTCGGTATGCAATTTTCTACTTTAATGTCTAATTTAAAACTAAACTGACATGACTCATTATGTTTAGGCTTTTGTTGTAGACTGTTGCTGCTGCTTTATATGATGAAGGTGCATCACAGTTATCTCCGTGGTTCTTGTCAATTGTAGCTTCATGCTTGAAAGGTCCTCAAACAGTTATGGTAAGTTGACGAGTATTGGTTGTTGAGTAGGTTGCTCGTCTGATATAATTATATTATAGTTTATAAATGGAAACTGATGTTTTTATACTTCATATAGTTAAAAAGTTAATATGATAACATTAGGATTCTATTATAAATTTAATCAGCATGGAAATGTTCATTATCTAATAATAAGGGGTGAGTTGGGTAAAACTTTTTATAGTAATGCTTTAATCATTCTCTCAGTTTTTTGGGCTTATTCCTTATGGTAAACCCCTCTCTCTCTCTCTCTCTCTCTCTCTCTCTCAAGTGCACTTGAAGCTTTTAAA